ATGGCCCCATAACCCTGATGGAACCCCACGAACCCATGACCGTGATGGACCTCCATAACCCCATGATCCCATAACCTTGATGGACCCCCATAACCACATGACCCTGATGGACCCCGTAACTCCATGACCCTGGTTACCCCCCATGACCACATGACCTTGATGGATCTCCATGGACCCATGACCTTGATAGAACCCCATAACCACATGACCTCATGACCATAATGGACCCCATAACCACATGACCCCATGACCCTGATGGACCCCCATAACCCCATAACCATAACCATGATGGACCTCCATAACCCCATGACCCTCATGGAACTCCATAACTCCATGACCCTGCTGACCCAACATGACCTTGATGGACCTCCATAACCCCATGACCCTGATGGATCTCCATAACAGCATGACCTTGATGGACCCCAAGGACCTTGATGGACCCCCATGACCCTGATGGAACCCCATAACCCCATAGCCTTGATGGACCCCCATAACCCCATGACCTTGATGGACCCCCATAACCACATGGCCTTGATGGAACCCATAACCCCATGACCGTGGTTACCCCCCATGGTCTTGATGGACCTCCATAACCACATGGCCTCATGACCGTGACGGAACTCCATGATCCCATGATCCTGATGGACCCCATAATCCCATAACCTTGATGGAACCCCATAACCCCATAACCATGATGGAACCCCATAACCTCATGACCTCATGAACTTGATGGAATACCATACCCTCATGACTCCATGACCTTGATCGACCTCCATAACCACATCACCCCATGACCCTGATGGACGCCCATAACCTCATGACCCTGATGGACCCCCATAACCCCATGACCCTGATGGAACCCCATAACCACATAACCATGATGGACCCTCATAACCCCATAACGATGATGGACCCCCATAACTCCATGACCCTGCTGACCTAACATGACCTTGATGGACCTCCATAACAGCATGACCTTGATGGACCCCAAGGACCTTGATGGATCCCCACGACCCTGATGGAGCCCCATAACCACATGACCATGATGGACCCCATAACTCCATGGCCTTGATGGAACCCCATAACCCCATGACTCCATTACCTTGATCGACCTCCACCACCACATAACCCCATGACCCTGATGGAACCCCATAACCCCATGACCTTGATCAGCCCCCATAACCACATCACTCCATGACCCTGATGGACCCCCATAACCACATGACCATGATGGACCTCCATAACCCCATGATCCTGCTGACCCACCATGACCTTGATGGACCCCCATGACTCTGATGGACCCCCATGACCCTGATGGAACCCCATAACCACATGACCATGATGGAACTCCATAACCCCATGACCCTGATGGAACCCCATAACTCCATGACCATGATGGAACTCCATAACCCCATGACCCTGATGGAACCCCATAACTCCATGACCTTGATCAGCCCCCATAACCACATCACTCCATGACCCTGATGGACCCCCATAACCACATGACCATGATGGACCTCCATAACCCCATGATCCTGCTGACCCACCATGACCTTGATGGACCCCCATGACTCTGATGGACCCCCATGACCCTGATGGAACCCCATAACCACATGACCATGATGGAACTCCATAACCCCATGACCCTGATGGAACCCCATAACTCCATGACCATGATGGAACTCCATAACCCCATGACCCTGATGGAACCCCATAACTCCATGACCATGATGGAACTCCATAACCCCATGACCCTGATGGAACCCCATAACTCCATGACCATGATGGAACTCCATAACCCCATGACCCTGATGGAACCCCATAACTCCATGACCATGATGGAACTCCATAACCCCATGACCCTGATGACCTAACATGACCTTGATGGACCTCCATGACCCTGATGGACCCCCATAACCACATGGCCCCATAACCCTGATGGAACCCCACGAACCCATGACCGTGATGGACCTCCATAACCCCATGATCCCATAACCTTGATGGACCCCCATAACCACATGACCCTGATGGACCCCGTAACTCCATGACCCTGGTTACCCCCCATGACCACATGACCTTGATGGATCTCCATGGACCCATGACCTTGATAGAACCCCATAACCACATGACCTCATGACCATAATGGACCCCATAACCACATGACCCCATGACCCTGATGGACCCCCATAACCCCATAACCATAACCATGATGGACCTCCATAACCCCATGACCCTCATGGAACTCCATAACTCCATGACCCTGCTGACCCAACATGACCTTGATGGACCTCCATAACCCCATGACCCTGATGGATCTCCATAACAGCATGACCTTGATGGACCCCAAGGACCTTGATGGACCCCCATGACCCTGATGGAACCCCATAACCCCATAGCCTTGATGGACCCCCATAACCCCATGACCTTGATGGACCCCCATAACCACATGGCCTTGATGGAACCCATAACCCCATGACCGTGGTTACCCCCCATGGTCTTGATGGACCTCCATAACCACATGGCCTCATGACCGTGACGGAACTCCATGATCCCATGATCCTGATGGACCCCATAATCCCATAACCTTGATGGAACCCCATAACCCCATAACCATGATGGAACCCCATAACCTCATGACCTCATGAACTTGATGGAATACCATACCCTCATGACTCCATGACCTTGATCGACCTCCATAACCACATCACCCCATGACCCTGATGGACGCCCATAACCTCATGACCCTGATGGACCCCCATAACCCCATGACCCTGATGGAACCCCATAACCACATAACCATGATGGACCCTCATAACCCCATAACGATGATGGACCCCCATAACTCCATGACCCTGCTGACCTAACATGACCTTGATGGACCTCCATAACAGCATGACCTTGATGGACCCCAAGGACCTTGATGGATCCCCACGACCCTGATGGAGCCCCATAACCACATGACCATGATGGACCCCATAACTCCATGGCCTTGATGGAACCCCATAACCCCATGACTCCATTACCTTGATCGACCTCCACCACCACATAACCCCATGACCCTGATGGAACCCCATAACCCCATGACCTTGATCAGCCCCCATAACCACATCACTCCATGACCCTGATGGACCCCCATAACCACATGACCATGATGGACCTCCATAACCCCATGATCCTGCTGACCCACCATGACCTTGATGGACCCCCATGACTCTGATGGACCCCCATGACCCTGATGGAACCCCATAACCACATGACCATGATGGAACTCCATAACCCCATGACCCTGATGGAACCCCATAACTCCATGACCATGATGGAACTCCATAACCCCATGACCCTGATGGAACCCCATAACTCCATGACCATGATGGAACTCCATAACCCCATGACCCTGATGACCTAACATGACCTTGATGGACCTCCATGACCCTGATGGACCCCCATAACCACATGGCCCCATAACCCTGATGGAACCCCACGAACCCATGACCGTGATGGACCTCCATAACCCCATGATCCCATAACCTTGATGGACCCCCATAACCACATGACCCTGATGGACCCCGTAACTCCATGACCCTGGTTACCCCCCATGACCACATGACCTTGATGGATCTCCATGGACCCATGACCTTGATAGAACCCCATAACCACATGACCTCATGACCATAATGGACCCCATAACCACATGACCCCATGACCCTGATGGACCCCCATAACCCCATAACCATAACCATGATGGACCTCCATAACCCCATGACCCTCATGGAACTCCATAACTCCATGACCCTGCTGACCCAACATGACCTTGATGGACCTCCATAACCCCATGACCCTGATGGATCTCCATAACAGCATGACCTTGATGGACCCCAAGGACCTTGATGGACCCCCATGACCCTGATGGAACCCCATAACCCCATAGCCTTGATGGACCCCCATAACCCCATGACCTTGATGGACCCCCATAACCACATGGCCTTGATGGAACCCATAACCCCATGACCGTGGTTACCCCCCATGGTCTTGATGGACCTCCATAACCACATGGCCTCATGACCGTGACGGAACTCCATGATCCCATGATCCTGATGGACCCCATAATCCCATAACCTTGATGGAACCCCATAACCCCATAACCATGATGGAACCCCATAACCTCATGACCTCATGAACTTGATGGAATACCATACCCTCATGACTCCATGACCTTGATCGACCTCCATAACCACATCACCCCATGACCCTGATGGACGCCCATAACCTCATGACCCTGATGGACCCCCATAACCCCATGACCCTGATGGAACCCCATAACCACATAACCATGATGGACCCTCATAACCCCATAACGATGATGGACCCCCATAACTCCATGACCCTGCTGACCTAACATGACCTTGATGGACCTCCATAACAGCATGACCTTGATGGACCCCAAGGACCTTGATGGATCCCCACGACCCTGATGGAGCCCCATAACCACATGACCATGATGGACCCCATAACTCCATGGCCTTGATGGAACCCCATAACCCCATGACTCCATTACCTTGATCGACCTCCACCACCACATAACCCCATGACCCTGATGGAACCCCATAACCCCATGACCTTGATCAGCCCCCATAACCACATCACTCCATGACCCTGATGGACCCCCATAACCACATGACCATGATGGACCTCCATAACCCCATGATCCTGCTGACCCACCATGACCTTGATGGACCCCCATGACTCTGATGGACCCCCATGACCCTGATGGACCCCCATAACCCCATGACCTTGATCAGCCCCCATAACCACATCACTCCATGACCTTGATGGACCCCCATATCCTCATAACCGTGATGGACCGCCATGACCCTGATGGAACTCCATAACCCCATAACCATGATGGACCCCCAGAACCCCATGACCCTGATGGAACCCCATAACCCTGATGGACCCCCACAACCTCAATGAACCCCCAAACCACCACCTCCACCACCCACCCCGTTCCTCACCTCGGCGTCCCCCAGGAACCGGGCGAGACACGGGAACACGCCGCCCTCCACGCCGAAGCGCTCGGCCGCGTAGACGTCGGGCGCGTGCGGGACGTCCACGTGCGGCGCGAAGCCGCCGGCGCCCCGCAGGAACGCCCGGGGCCTCCTGGCGGCGCCGCGGGCCACCCGCGCCGCGCGGCCGCCCAGCTCCAGGAACTCCAGGCGCGTGTCGCGCCGCCACGGCCGCGGCGCCTGCGCCGGGTAGAAGGCTCCGGAAGCCCGGCGGAACACGGCGGAGACGCCGCCCTTGGAGCCGTCGGCCACGCCCAGGTAGAGGCGGCCGCCCAGGCGGGCGGAGGTGACGGCGTGGGGACGGCGCAGGCGGCCCTGGCCCAGGGACTGGCGGCGCACGAAGGAGGAGCCCGAGCGGCGCCGCACCCAGGAGCCGCCGCGCGGCTGGGCCACCACCAGGAGCGGCGTGTCGGCCACCACCACGGGGTGGCAGGACGCCGGGGACGAGCCCGGAGGGGACAGCGGGGACGTTGGAGATGTTGGAGATGTTGCAGACCTTGGAACCCTGGGGACATTGGAGATGTTGGGCACATTGGAGATGTTGGGCTGATGCGGACCTTGTGAAGTTTGGGGACCTTGGAGATGTTGGGGACCTTAGAGACCTTGGGGATATTGGACATGTTGGGGTGATGGGGACATTGGGGACATTGGAGATGTTGGAGATCTTGGGACCTTGGAGACATTGGAGACGTTGGGGACCTTTGGAACCCTGGAGACACTGGGGGCACTGGGGATATTGGGGAGCTTGGGGACATTGGAGACGTTGGGGACCTTTGGGACCTTGGGGACATTGGAGATGTTGGGGTGATGGGGCCTTGGGGACCTTGGGGACAGTAGGGACCTTGGAGAGCTTGGGGACATTGGGGACCTTGGGGACTTGGGGACCTTGGAGGCACTGGAGAGGTTGAGGACCTTTGAGACCTTGGGGACATTGGGGGCACTGAGGACCTTGGGGACACTGGGGACATTGGAGACCTTGGGACATTGGGGACCTTGGGGACTTTGGGAATATGGAGGTTGTTGGGCACATTGGGGACATTGGAGATGTTGGGGTGATGGCGACCTTGGGGACATCGGAGATGTTGGGGTGATGGCGACCTTGGGGACATTGGAGATGTTTGGACATTGGAGATGTTGGGGTGATGGGGACCTTGGGGACCCTGGAGATGTTGGGGTGATGGGGACCTTGGGGACATTGGAGATGTTTGGACATTGGAGATGTTGGGGTGATGGCGACCTTGGGGACATTGGAGATGTTGGGGTGATGGGACACTGGGGACATTGGAGATGTTGGGGTGATGGGGACCTTGGGGAGATCGGAGATGTTGGGGTGATGGGACACTGGGGACATTGGAGATGTTGGGGTGATGGGGACCTTGGGGACATTGGAGATGTTGGGGTGATGGGACACTGGGGACATTGGAGATGTTGGGGTGATGGGGACCTTGGGGACATTGGAGATGTTGGGGTGATGGCGACCTTGGGGACATTGGAGATGTTTGGACATTGGAGATGTTTGGACATTGGAGATGTTGGGGTGATGGGGACCTTGGGGACATTGGAGATGTTGGGGTGATGGGGACCTTGGGGACATTGGAGATGTTTGGACATTGGAGATGTTGGGGTGATGGGGACCTTGGGGACCCTGGAGATGTTGGGGTGATGGGGACCTTGGGGACATTGGAGATGTTGGGGTGATGGGGACCTTGGGGACATTGGAGATGTTGGGGACCCTGGAGATGTTGGGGTGATGGGACACTGGGGACATTGGAGATGTTGGGGACCCTGGAGATGTTGGGGTGATGGGACACTGGGGACATTGGAGATGTTGGGGACACCGGTGACCTCGGGGCCCTTGCTGTCCCTCAGCCCGGTTCCCACCATTCCTTCCCTGCTGCTTTTCCCCATTTCCCAGCACTTTTCCCCATTTCCCCCCATTTTTAAATTATTTTTCTCCATTCCTCTCCCTTTCCCCCCATTTTTTCAATTTTCCTTTGGTCTTTTTCCCATTTCCCCCTTTCTTTTCCATTTCTCTCCCATTTTCCCCCTGGTTTTCCCCATTTTTCCCCCAATTTTTTCCCATTTTCCCCATTTTCCCCCATTTCTCTCACTGTTATAATGATGAGCACCCAGAACCTCCCCCTCATTTTTCCCTCATTCTCCCCCATTTTTCTTTGTTTTTCCCAATTTTTCTCTGGTTTTTTCCCCATTTTCCCCCAGTTTTAAATTTTTTTCATTTTTTCCCAATTTCCCCATTTTTTTCCCCGATTTCTCTCACCGTTGACCACGCTCTGTGCCCGGAACTTCCCCTTCATTTTCTCTTTATTTTTCCCCATTTTACCCCATTTTTTCCCATTTTTTCCCCATTTTTTCCCAATTTTTTCCTTTGCTTTACCCCATTTTTTCCCCGTTTTTTTCCCAATTTTTGCCATTTCTTCACCATTTTTCCCATTTTTTCCCAATTTCCCCGTTTTTCCCCCCAATTTCTCTCACCATTGATGACGCTCTGAGCCTGGAACCTGCCCCTCATTTTCCCCCTATTCTCCCTGATTTCCCCCCATTTTTTCCCCGTTTTTTTCCCAATTTTTGCCATTTCTTCACCATTTTTCCCATTTTTCCCAATTTCCCCGTTTTTCCCCCTAATTTCTCTCACCGTTCACCACGCTCTGTGCCCAGAACCTCCCCCTCATTTCTCCCTCATTTTCCCTTTGCTTTCCCCCGTTTTCCTCCCGTTTTTTCTCATTTTGTCCCCATTTTTTCCCCAATTTTCATTTTTTAACCGTTTTTCCCAATTTCCCCATTTTTTTCCCCAATTTCTCCCACCATTGACCACGCTCTGAGCCCGGAACCTCCCCCTCATTTTTCCTTTGTTCTCCCCATTATTTCTCCATTTTTTCCCCATTTTTTTGTTGATTTTTTCCCCGTTTTTTCCCCAAATTCCCCGTTTTCCCCATTTTTCCCAATTTCCCGGTTTTTCCCCCCATTTCTCTCACCGTTGACGACGCTCTGTGCCCGGAACTGCCCCCGAGCTGGCGCCGAGCTCCGGCTGCGCCACGAACACCCAGGGGTGGCCCCCGAGGGACGCGGGGGCGGCGCCCAGGGACGAGAACGGCAGCGTCTGGAACGGACGCAGCTCTGGGGGAAAAAACGGGAAATTTGGGTAAAAATGGGAAAATTTGGGGAAATTTGGGATTCTTGGGAGACCGGAACGGCCGCAGCCCTGGGGGCAGAAAATGGGGACAAAAATGGGGAAATTTGGTTAAAAATGGGGAAATTTGGGGAAATTTGGGATTCTTGGGAGACCGGAACGGCCGCAGCCCTGGGGGCAGAAAATGGGGACAAAAATGGGGAAATTTGGTTAAAAATGGGGAAATTTGGAGTTTTTCACACCAAAATCTGGTTAAAAAGGGGAAAATTTGGGATTCCTGAGAGGCTGGAACGGCCGCAGCTCTGGGGACACAAAATGGGGACAGAAAGTGGGAAACAAAAATTGGAAAATTTGGAGTTTTTCACACCAAAAAATGGTTAAAAATGGGAAAATTTGGGGAAATTTTGGATTCCTTAGAGACTGGAACGGCCGCAGTTCTGGGGACACAACATGGGGGAAAAAAATGGGAAAATTTGGGGAAATTTGGGGAAATTTTGGATTTTTGAGAAGCTGGAACAGTCACAGCTCTGGGGACAGAAAATGGGGAGAAAAATGGGAAAATCTGGTTAAAAATGGGAAAATTTGGGGAAATTTGGGATTCTTGAGAGGCTGGAACGGTCGCTGCTCTGGGGACACAAAATGGGGACAAAAATCAGAAAATTTGGTTTAAAATGGGGAAAAAACGGGAAATTTGGTCAAAAATGGGAAAGTTTGGGTAAAAATGGGGAAATTTGGGGAAATTTGGGATTCTTGAGAGACTGGAACAGTCGCAGCTCTGGGGACACAAAATGGGGACATTGGGGACATTGGGGACACGGAGGCAGCGCCGAGGGACGAGAACGGCAAAGTCTGGAATGGACGCAGTTCTGGGGGAAAAACCACAAAATTTGGGTAAAAATGGGGAAATCTGGGGAAATTTGGGATTCTTGAGAGACTGGAACGGCCGCAGCTCTGGGGACACAAAATGGGGACATTGGGGACACCTTGGGGACATTGGGGACACAGCCAGGGACACAGGGACAGCTTGGGGACACCGGGGACATCACTGGGGACATTGGGGACAGCCTAGGGACACTCGCAGGGACAAGGGGACACAGCCAGGGACAGCTTGGGGACAGCCCCAGGGACACAGGGACAGTTTGGGGACATTGGGGACAGCCCCAGGGACACAGGGACACAGGTGCAGCTTGGGGACATTGGGGACAGCTTGGGGACAGCCCCAGGGACACAAGGACACAGCCAGGGACAGCTTGGGGACATTGCTGGGGACAACCCGGGGACATGGGGACAGTTTGGGGACATTGGGGACATTGCCAGGGACAGCCCCAGGGACACAGGGACATTGGGGACATTGGAGACATTGCCAGGGACACAGGGACACCCTCAGGGACACTGGGCACAGTTCTAGGGACAGACCCAGGGACACCTTGGGGACATTGGGGACACAGCCAGGGACAGCTTGGGGACACTGGGGACACAGCCAGAGACACAGGGACAGCTTGGGGACATTGCTGGGGACAGAGGAATGGACACAGGGACATTGGGGACAGCTTGGGGACAGCCCAGGGACAGCTTGGGGACACTGAGGACACATGCAGGGACACACTGGGGACAGACCCAGGGACAGCTTGGGGACATTGGGGACAGTTCTAGGGACAGACCCAGGAACAGCTTGGGGACATTGGGGACACAGCCAGGGACACTCCCAGGGACACGGGGACACAGCCAGAGACAGCTTGGGGACACTGGGGACAGGGGGATGGACCCAAGGACACAGGGACAGCTTGGGGACATTGGGGACATTGGGGACAGCTTAGCGACACCACCAGGGACACGGGGACAAAGCCAGGGACAACTTGGGGACAGCTTGGGGACATCACTGGGGACACGGGGACAGCTTGGGGACAGCCCCAGAGACATTGGGGGCACAGCCAGGGACAGCTTGGGGACATTGCCAGAGACACAGGGACACCCCCAGGGACACTGGGGACAGTTGTAGGGACAGACCCAGGGACACCTTGGGGACATTGGGGACAGCCTTGGGGACGTTGGGGACACACCCAGGGACACGAGGACACAGCCAGGGACACCCAAGGGACAGAAGGACACAGTCAGAGACAGCTTGGGGACATTGAGGACACAGCCAGGGACAGCTTGGGGACATTGGGGACACCTTGGGGACATTGGGGACACATGCAGGGACAGTCCCAGAGACACGGGGACAGACCCAGGGAGAGCTTGGGGACATTGGGGACACAGCCAGGGACACCCCAGGGACACGGGGACACAGCCAGGGACAGCCCGGGGACACAGAGACAGCTTGGGGACATCGCCGGGGACACGGGGACAGCCCCAGGGAGAGCCCCAGGGACACTGGGGACAGGCTGGGGACATTGCTGGGGACATTGGGGACAGCTTGGGGACATTGGGGACACAGCCAGGGACAGCTTGGGGACATCGCCGGGGACACGGGGACAGCCCCAGGGAGAGCCCCAGGGACATTGGGGACAGGCTGGGGACATTGCTGGGGACATTGGGGACACGGGGACAGCTTGGGGACACTCCCAGCACAACCCAGTCCCATTTTTAACCCTTCAATCCCCATTTCCACCCCTCAAATCCCCTTTTTTTGACCTAAAACCACCAAATTTTCTCCCCCCAGTACAAACCAGTACATCCCAGTTGCCTCCCAGTTTGTCCCAGCCCCTCCCAGTACCAACCAGTCCCATTTTAACCCCTAAATCCCCATTTTTAACCCTGAAATTCCCATTTTCAACCCTTAAGTCCCCGGATTTTTTCCCTCCCAGTCCCTCCCAGTTTGTCCCAGTTCCCTCCCAGTATAACCCAGTACAAACCAGTGCAACCAGTCCCATTTCCACCCCTCATATCCCCCCATTTTAACCCTTAAGTCCCCATTTTTAACCCTTAAATCCCTTTTTGACCTAAAACCACCAAATTTTCACCTCCCAGTCCCTCCCAGTTTGTCCCAGTCCCATTTTTAACCCCTAAATCCCCATTTTTAACCCTTAAATCCCCATTTTCCCCCCTAAAATCCCCATTTTTAACCCTAAAACCCCCGGATATTTTCCCTTCAGTCCCCCCCAGTCCGTCCCAGTCCGTCCCAGTATAACCCAGTCCCATTTTCCCCTCTAAAACCCCCGATTTTTAATCCTTAAATCCCCATTATTAACCCCTAAATCCCCAAATTTTTACCTAAAACCTCCAGATTTTCTCCCCCCAGTCCCTTCCAGTTCCTTCCCAGTCCATCCCAGTATAACCCAGTCCCATTTTAACCCTTAAATCCCCATTTTTTTCCAGAAATCCCCGGATTTTTTCCCTTTAGTCCCTCCCAGTCCCTCCCAGTACATCCCAGTCCATCCCAGTATAACCCAGTCCCCTCCCAGTCCCATTTCCACCCCTAAAATTCCAATTTTTAACCCTTAAATCCCCAAATTTTTACCTAAAACCACCAAATTTTCATCCCCCAGTCCCTCTCAGTCCCTCCCAGTTTGTCCCAGTTCATCCCAGTATAACCCAGTCCCATTTTCTCCCTAAAAATCCCCATTTTTAACCCTTAAATCCCCATTTTCCCCCCTAAAATCCCCATTTTTAACCCTAAAACCCCCGGATTTTCCCCCCCAGTCCCTCCCAGTCCATCCCAGTTACCGTGCCTCTGGCACTGGAGCTGCTGGGGGCGGAGCTGCGCCAGGGCCACGCCCAGGTGGGGGAGGGGCGCTCGGCAGCGGCCCCCTGGGGGGGAGGGGCGGGCGCGGCCCCAGGCCAGGAGCCAGCGCAGGGCGTTCCCCCGGAGGTCACTGCGACAGAAATGGCACCAAATGGCACCAAAGTGGCACCAAAGGGGTGCCAGGGGTGCCAGGTGTCGCTAGGTGGCACCAAAGTGGCAAAAAACGGCACTAAAGGGGCCCTAAGTGGCATCAAATGGCACCAAAGTGGCACCAAAGTGTCATTAAATGTCACCAAAGGGTGCCAGGTGGCACTACGTGGCATTAGAGTGGCACTAAGTGGCACCAAAGTGGCACTAAATGGCATTTAAGTGGCAAAAAATGGCACCAAATGACCCCAAAGGGCACCAAAGTGTCGCCAAGGGGTGCCAGGGGGTGCCAGGTGGCACTAAGTGACACTAAAGTGGCAAAAAATGGCACTAAAGGGGCCCTAAGTGGCACCAGGTGGCACCAAATGGCACCAAAGTGGCAAAAAAGTGACAAAAGGTGGCCCTGAGTGGCACCAGGTGGCACTAGAGGGACATGAAGTTGCACCAGGTGGCATCAAAGTGACAAAAGGTGGCACTAAAAGGCACCAAATGTCACCAAAGTGGCACCAAAGTGTCGCCAGGGGGCGCCAGGTGTGCCAGGTGTCACTAAATGGCATCAGAGGGGCACTAAGTGGCACCAAAGTGGCACTAAATGGCATTAAAGTGGTAAAAAGTGGCACTAAAGTGGCATCAAAGGGGTGCCAAGGGGTGCCAGGTGGTGCCAGGTGGTGCCAGGTGGCACCAAAGTGGCATTAAAGTGGCACCAAGTGGCACTAAATGGCACCAAAGTGGCATCACAGAGACAAAAAATGGCACTAAAGGGACATTGAGTGGCACCAGGTGGCTCTAAATGGCATTAAAGTGGCAAAAATGACACTAGAGTGGCACTAAAGTGGCAAAAAGTGGCACCAAAGTGGCACCAAAGGGTGCCAGGGGGTGCCAGGTGGCACTGAGTGGTGTTAAAGTGGCACCAAATGGCACCAAAGTGGCACCAAAGTGACATTGAATTGGCAAAAAGCGGCACCAAATGGCATCAAATGGCATCAAAGTGACAAAAGGTGGCACTAGAGTGGCACCAGGTGTCACCAAAGTGGCAAAAAATGGCATTAACGTGGCACTAAGTGTCACCAGGTGGTGCCAGGTGGCATCAAAGTGGCCCCAGGTGTCACCACATGGTATTAGAGTGGCACTAAAGGGCACCAAAGTGGCACCAGGTGGCATTAAATGGCACCCGGGGGCACCAAATGACACCAAAGTGACAAAAAATGGCACTGAATGGCATCGAAGCGGCACCAGGTGGCACCGAATGGCACTAGAGTGGCACTAAAGGGACATCAAGTGGCACCAAGTGGCACTAAAATGACAAAAAGTGGCACCAAATGGCACCCGGTGGCACTAAAGGGATAAAAAATGGCTCCAGGTGGCACTAAATGGCACTAGAGTGGCACCCGGTGGCATCAGATGGCACCAAAGTGACAAAAAGTGGCATCCGGTGGCACTACATTGGCACTAATTGGCATTGAATTGGCACTACGGGGACATCAAGTGGCACCAAGGGGCATCAGATGGTTCCAGAGTGGCACTAAGTGGCATTAGAGTGGTAAAAAGTGGCATCAAATGGCACCAAAGTGGCACCAAAGGGTGCCAGGGGGTGCCAGGCGTGCCAGGTGTCACTGCATGGCATCAGAGTGGCACTAAATGGCACCAAAGTGGCAAAAAATGGCATTAAAGGGGTAAAAAGTGGCACCAAAGTGGCACTAAGCAGCGCCAGGTGGCACCAGGTGTCACTAAATGGCACTAGAGTGGCACCAAAGTGGCACTAAATGGCATTAAATTAGCAAAAAGTGGCACTAAATGGCTCCAGAGTGACATCAAATGGCACTAAAGGGACACCAAGTGGCACCAGGTGGCACCAAATGGCACCGAAGTGGCACTAAAGGGACATCAAGTGGCACCAGGTGGCACTACATGGCACTAAGTGGTACTAGATGGCACCAGAGTGGCACTAAATGGCATTAAAGTGGTAAAAAGTGGCACCAGATGGCACCAAAGTGTCACCAGGCGGTGCCAGGTGGCGCTAAGTGGCACCAAAGTGGCAAAAAGTGGCAAAAAATGGCACCAGGTGGCACCAAAGGGACATCGAGTGGCACCAAAGTGGCACCAAAGTGACAAAAGTGGCACCGAAGTGGCAAAAATGGTACTGAACTGGCACTAAAGTGACAAAAATAGGCACTAAATAGCACCAGGTGGCACCCAAGTGGCACTAAGTGGCACCAGGTGGCACTAAAGTGACAAAACTGGCATCAAATGGCACCAAAGTGGCATTTAATTAGCAAAAAGTGGCATTAAATGGCACCAAAGTGGCACCAAAGTGACAAAAATGGCACCAGAGGTGACACCGAGAGGCCCCAAAGTGGCACCGAGGTGGCACCGAGTGACACAAAATGGCGCCTGAGCGCCACCGGGGCCATCGAGCGGCGCTTGGGGACACCGGGGTGGCACCCGAGGAACGGAAAGTGGCACCAGGTGGCACCGAGGGGACAAAAAAGGGACAAAACACTGGCACGGACCCTCCATCCACCCCAGTGTCCCCAAGGTGTCCACAACCCCCCCCAGTGTCCCCAAAGTGTCCCCAAATCCTCCCAATGTCCCCAATGTCCCCAATGTCACCCACAGGTGTCACCCACAGGTGTCTCAGTGTCCCCAGTGTCACCCACAGGTGTCTCAGTGTCCCCAGTGTCCCCAGTGTCACCCACAGGTGTCTCAGTGTCCCCAGTGTCACCCACAGGTGTCACCCACAGGTGTCACCCACAGGTGTCTCAGTGTCCCAATGTCCCTCAGGAGCTCTCTGGGCAGAGTCTCCAGGTTGTTGTTGGCCAAACTCTTGCGGGGACACAAACGGGGACAGTGGGGACAGTGAGGGGACATTTGGGGACAGTGGGGACAGTGAGGGGACATTGGGGACAGTGAGGGGACATTTGGGGACATTGGGGACAGTGGGGACAGTGAGGGGACATTGGGGACAGTGAGGGGACATTTGGGGACATTGGGGACAGTGGGGACAGTGAGGGGACATTGGGGACAGTGAGGGGACATTTGGGGACATTGGGGACAGTGGGGACAGTGAGGGGACATTGGGGACAGTGAGGGGACATTTGGGGACATTGGGGACAGTGGGGACAGTGAGGGGACATTTGGGGACATTGAGGGGATTTAGGGACAGTGAGAGCGTTGGGGACATGTGGGGACACTCACAGGAATTGGAGCCCCCGGAGTCCCCGGAGAGACCCCGGGGAGACGAAACCGAGCTGGGAATCCTCGATGAACCTGGAACCAGTACGGACCAGTAGGGACCAGTACGGACCAGTAGGGACCAGTAGGGACCAGTACGGACCAGTTTGGACGAGTGGGGACCAGTAGGGACCAGTACGGACCAGTACGGACCAGTGTGGACCACTGTGGACCAGTGTGGACCAGTACGGACCAGTAGGGACCAGTAGGGACCAGTACAGACCAGTACGGACCAGTTTGGACGAGTGGGGACCAGTAGGGACCAGTACGGACCAGTGTGGACCAGTGTGGACCAGTAGGGACCAGTGTGGACCAGTGTGGACCAGTACGGACCAGTAGGGACCAGTACGGACCAGTAGGGACCAGTGTGGTCCAGTATAAACCATTATCGACCAGTGTGGACCAAAAAACACCATAAGATCCATTAAAATCCATAGAAAGCAGTATGGACCAGTATAAACCAGTACGGACCAGTACGGACTAGTACGGACCAGTATGGACCAGTATGGACCAAAAAAACCCCATAAAATCCATTAAAATCCATAGAAACCTGTATGGACCAGTATAAACCAGTATGGACCAGTATGGATCCAAAAAACCCTGTAAAAATCCATACAAACCAGTATAGACCAGTATGGAACCAGTATGGACCCGTCCCTCGCAGTTCAAACCAGTCCACACCAGTATAACCCAGCCCCATTCCCAGTATAACCAGTACAAACCAGTATCACTCACAGGTACTCCAGTCCCTCCCAGTCCCCCCCAGCCGCATTTCCAGTCCGAACCAGTATAACCCAGTCCCTCCCAGTCCAAACCAGTATGAACCAGTGCAAATGAGCCCCATTCCCAGTCCCTCCCGGTACAAACCAGTATAACCAGTAACACACTCACAGATATTCCAGCACCCCCAGCCCCATTCCCAGTATAACCAGTACAAACCAGTATCCCCAGTATCACTCCCAGCCCCATTCCCAGTCCCTCCCAGTACAAACCAGTATAACCAGTACAACACTCACAGATCTTCCAGCATTCCCAGTCCCTCCCAGTCCCTCCCAGTATAACCAGTACAGCACTCAGAGCTACTCCAGCATCCCCAGCCCCATTCCCAGTACAGACCAGTATAACCAGTAAAAACCAGTATCCCCAGTACCTCCCAGCCCCTCCCAGTCCCTCCCAGTACAAACCAGTATAACCAGTATAACCAGCCCCTCCCAGTCTCTGCCAGTACAAACCAGCACAAACCAGTATAACCAGTGTAACCCAGCCCCATTCCCAGTCCCTCCCAGAACACACCAGTACAAACCAGTACAAACAAGTGCCTCCCAGTATAACCAGTATAACCAGTATAACCAGTACAAACCAGTACAAACCAGTCCCTCCCAGTATAACCAGTATAACCAGTCCCCTCCCAGTACAAACCAGTATAACCGGCATAACCCAGTACCACTGCCAGCCCCATTGCCAGTCCCTCCCAGTACAAACCAGTCCAAACCAGTATAACCCAGTATCGCTCCCAGCCCCCTACCAGAACAAACCAGCATAACCAGTACACACCAGTCCCTCCCAGTATAACCCAGTATCGCTCCCAGCCCCATTCCCAGTGTAACCAGTATAACCAGTACACACCAGTCCCTCCCAGTATAACCAGTATAACCCAGTATCGCTCCCAGCCCCATTCCCAGTGTAACCGGCATAACCAGTACACACCAGTCCCTCCCAGTATAACCAGTATAACCCAGTATCGCTCCCAGCCCCATTCCCAGTGTAACCAGCATAACCAGTACACACCAGTCCCTCCCAGTATAACCAGTATAACCCAGTACCGCTCCCAGCCCCATTCCCAGTGTAACCGGCATAACCAGTACACACCAGTCCCTCCCAGTATAACCAGTTGTTATGGTTTAGGCCCGGCAAAGCCAAGGCCCCCATAAATATACCTTTTACCTGATATCTGCTGTGAGATGTGGCCAGGAAATAAGCAAAGCAGGCTCCAACTTAAACATAAAGAGAAGTTTATTAACTAAACTACACACACAATTACTAAACTACACACACAATTACTAAACTACACACACACAGGGAAAAAAACAAGGAGAATGAAAACTACACAGAAACACTTCCTTATCCTCCTCCCACCAAATTCCCAAACACATTTACATTTCCCAAAAAATTATCCACACTCGGTCTGGCACCACCCTTTAGAAAAAAAAATCAAATCTTCAGCTCATAAGGGATAGACGGAGTCCTTCCTTGTGCCACGGACTTCTTGTCACAATCAGCAATCCGCCCGGTATCTTGCTATCTCGTGACATCTCCTTTCCATGCCGAGGTGCTCTCACCACCTGGCATGGGATGGGGCAGGGGCCTGCCTTCAGGGCCTTTTAAGAATGCCTCGTCTCGTTCCAAGCAGAGTACAGTCACAATCCTGGGACCTCTGTCCCCCCCCCCATGTCTTCTATACCCCCTGGGGCCGAGGGGTCTCAAAACCAAACTCTCTTGACTCCGAGCCTCCGCTTCCCCCTGCAATACAGCCTCTGCATCACCAGGAAACAGTCCATGGAAATACAACAAAAAAAGAGTCCAGCAAAAACTGCCACTCCATCTTCCTCCATTCCTTCAACATCTCTCTTCTCCCTTTGCCAGACCCTCCTTACTGGCCTGATTTTCTTCCTTCATCTTCCACTCCTGTCCCTTTCCCAGGAAAGGCAATGTTCTGCGAAGCCTTCATTCCCCAAAGGGTTAAAAGTTCTCCCAGGCGGCCGGACTGCCCGCTGCCCCCCCTTTCTCCTCCCAGCCGTGCTGCCTGCCGGCACATGATATCAAGTTTCAAGATATACAGTTCGAGCACGGGCTGCATTCTCTGGGGGGGGGGGAATAAACCGGTCGCTCAAGGGTCTGCCACCCTTCCTCCCGGGCCTACCGTAAATGGGCCACGTGGCTCTCCCCTCCCCCAGCCCAGCCAGAAACTGGGCCGGGGGAGAGACTTCTTCACGCCGGAAATCCCAAGAGGACTCCGAAGGCCAAGAGCCCTGCTTTTAACCCCTTGGGTTCGTAGTCTCAAGAGGCGGATCCAAATGTCCCACTGGTCAAACTAAGTGCCCATCTTAAATTCCAATTACCCATTGGTAATCACAGCAAAACAAAATATCCCAGATGTCCCATTTCCGGTCAAACCACGACACCAGTATAACCCAGTATCGCTCCCAGCCCCATTGATTGCAACCAATCAGCGGCCTTGAAGGCGGTATCTAAAGGCCGCGCCATTTTGTCTTTTTTCGACTACAACTCCCGTCATGCCCTACGGCGGCATAGAGAGCTATTAAAAGCTGGACTACAGCTCCCAGCATGCCTCGCGGCCTCTTAGAGCGCCATTGAAGCGGGGCCGACAACTCCCGTCGTGCCCTGCGGCACATACGTAAGTATTGATGGCTGGCTTACAATTCCCTTCATGCTCCGCGGCCCCATAGAGTCTAATGGAAGCCGGGCCTACACCTCCCGTCATGCCACGCAGCCACACAGAGTGCCCGGTACACGCCCCCAAATGTCCCCCCAAACCCAAAGTTGCTCCTCAGTTGTCCCCCCGGACCCCCAAGTGCCTCCCAGGATTCTTAAATGATCTCTCAGCCCTCACTCAGGACCTCCGACTGCCCTCACGGACTCCCAGGTGCCCCCCTAAACCTCCCACCGCCCCACTGACCCTCAGTCTGCGCCTACAATTCCCATGCTGCCCAGAGCCTACAACTCCCATCATCTCCCGCGCCCCACAGAGGCCAGGTAAAGCCAGGATCCAGCTCACCAAGTGACCCTGAGTGCCCTCAGACCCAAAGTTCCCCTCGGCTGCCTTTTGAGTGTCCCTTAAATGGCTCCTCTGACCCATAAGTGGCTTTTAGGACGCCCAAGCGCCCCCAGACCCCCAAGTTCCCCATCGAGCAACTTCCGGGCCTACAGCTCCCATCATGCGCCGGGACGCCCGTTGAGTTATATTACAAACACGCAAACAACTCCCACCAAACCCCGCGCCCCATAGAGAATCTTTATAACCAATAGAGCCCCGTTACAAACACGCATACAACTCCCATCAGCCCCCGCGCTCCACAAAGAATCGTTATAACCCATAGAGTCCCAAAGAGAATCATTATCACCCATAGAGCTCCATTACAAACGCGCATACAACTCCCACCACCCCCCGCGCCCCATAGAGAATCATTATAACCAATAGAGCCCCATTACAAACGCGCATACAACTCCCACCAGCCCTCGCGCCCCTAGAGAATCATTACAGCCACGCCTACAACTCCCATCATCCCTCGCGCACCACAGCGCCCCAGTTACTTGCCTACAACTCCCGTCATGCCCCGCGCCTCCCATAGCCCATCATTGAATGCCCCGCCCCTCCCGCACTACAACTCCCGTGCTGCCCCGCGGCGCTTTTCCCGCGGTTTTTCGCTCCCCTCAGTGCCCCCCGGCCATGATGGCGGAGGCGCTAGAGCGCTGGCTCCGGGAGGAGATGGAGCTGCCGCCCTCCGCCATCCCCTCCCCGGCCACGCTACGCAGGTCGGGACCAGTCGGGGACCCCCATGGGGACCCCCCTGAGGCGGGCAGGGGCCGCGGGGTTTTGGGGTGCCGGGGGTGGGAACCCCCCGAGGGCTCCGTGAGGGGAGAGCGGGAATGTGGGGGGGGCTGAGGAGGTTTGGGGTCCCCTTGGAGGGTCCTGAGAGGTTTTGGGGGGTCCTGGGGGGATTTTGGGGTCCCTTTGGAGAGTACTGGGGAGGTTTTGGGGTTCCTTTAGAAGGTCCTGGAAGGGTTTGGGGGTCCCCTTGGAGGGTCCTGGGGGAATTTTGGGGATCCTGAAGGGGTTTTGGGGTCCCTTTGAAACATCCTGGGGCGTTTTGGGGTCCCCTTGGAGGGTACTGGCTGGGTTTTGAGGGGTCCTGACAGAGTTTTGGGGTCCTTTTAAAGGGTCCTGGGGGGTTTTGGGGTCCCCTTGGAGGGTCCTGAGGGGGTTTTAGGGGTGCTGGGGGCATTTTGGGGTCCTTTTGGGTGGTCCTGTGGGAGTTTTGGGGTACTTTTGAGGGGTCCTGGGGGGATTTTGGGGTCTCTTTGGAAGGTCCTGGGGTGGTTTTGGGGGTCCTTTTGGGGTCTCTTTTAGGGCATCCTGAGTGGATTTGGGGATTCCTGGGGGTGATTTTCGGGTTCCTGGGTGAATTTTGGGCTCCTGGGTGAATTTTATGGTCACCCCCAAATGTTGGGGTGCCCCAATTCCCTCCCCTGCAGGCTCTGCTCCGGCCCCACAGCCCCCATTTGGGATTACGTCATCCGCCACATCCGGAACCAGCGGTGAGGGGGGACCCCAACATTGGGGAGGGTGAAAAACCCCACAAATTGAAAGGGGACCCCAAAATTTAAGGGGAAGGAGGGGGAGATGCTTTCCGGGCCTACAGCTCCCATCATCGCCCGCGCCCCACTGAGTTCCATTATAGCCAAGCCTGCAGCTCCCATCATCCCCCGCGCCCCACTGAGTTCCATTATAGCCAAGCCTGCAGCTCCCATCATCCCCCGCGCCCCACTGAGTTCCATTATAGCCAAGCCTGCCGCTCCCATCATCCCCCGCGCCCCACAGAGTTCCATTATAGCCAAGCCTACCGCTCCCATCATCCCCCTTGCCCCACCGAGTTCCATTATAGCCAAGCCTACAGCTCCCATCATCCCCCGCGCCCCACTGAGTTCCATTATAGCCAAGCCTACCGCTCCCATCATCCCCCTCGCCCCATTGAGTTCCATTATAGCCAAGCCTACAGCTCCCATCATCCCCCGCGCCCCACTGAGTTCCATTATAGCCAAGCCTACAGCTCCCATCATCCCCCGCGCCCCATTGAGTTCCATTATAGCCAAGCCTACAGCTCCCATCATGCCCCACGCCCCACTGAGTTCTATTATAGCCAAGCCTACAGCTCCCATCATCCCCCACGCCCCACTGAGTTCCATTATAGCCAAGCCTACCGCTCCCATCATCCCCCGCGCCCCACTGAGTTCCATTATAGCCAAGCCTACAGCTCCCATCATGCCCCACGCCCCACTGAGTTCCATTATAGCCAAGCCTACAGCTCCCATCATCCCCCGCGCCCCACTGAGTTCCATTATAGCCAAGCCTACAGCTCCCATCATGCCCCACGCCCCACTGAGTTCTATTATAGCCGGCCTACAGCTCCCATCATGCCCCACGCCCCACTGAGTTCTATTATAGCCGGCCTACAGCTCCCATCACGCCCCGCGCCGCCCAAAGAGCATCATTGCAGGCCCCACCCCCCCGAACTACAGCTCCCATCATGCCCCGCGCCATCTTCCCGCTCTTTTTCCCGGTTCTCCCCTCACAGAACTTTTGGGGTATCCCCACAGGAACGTGAAGAAGATCCGAGGAAATCTGCGTTTGTATCCGAGATTTTGGGGGATCCTCAAAAATTTGGGGGTTCCTGGGATAGAAAAATTCTGGAAACCCCAAAATTTGGGATGACGGTGCCCAAATTTGGGGGTTCAACCTAAAATTGAAGGTGAGATTTTTGGGGGATCCCCAAATTGTTCCTTAACTCGGGGTTCAGGTACGGGCACCTGCAGGAGCTGGAGGTGAGGGAGACCCCAAAACTTGAGGGGCAATTGGGGTCAGATTTGGGGTGGGGAACCCAAAACTTGGGGGGGTTCTCTCAGATCTGGGGACATTTTGGAGAAATTTTGGGATTTTTGGGGAATTTTCAGGAATTTTAAGGGATTTTTTTTGATTTTGGGGGATTTTGGGGGATTTTTGGAGGGGATTTGAGGGAATTTTGGGGGGTCCAGGGGAGTTTTGTAGCTTGAAATGGGATTTTTTTTGTGGGCGAAATGCAAAATTTTTGGACAATTTTTTTGGGATTTGTGGGAATTTTGGGAATATTGGTAGGGATTTGGAGAAGTTCTGGGGATTTAAAAGGGATTTTTGGGGGAATTTTTGGGAGGAATTTTGGGGGGGCATTTTTTTGAGAAATCTTGGGGATTTGGGGGGGAAATTTTAGGGGGAATTTTGGGGATTTTGGAGGTTGAAATGGGAATTTTTGGGGTTTAATATGTGTTTTTTTAAAGGATTTTGGGGAAATTTTGGATTTTTTTTGAGGAATTTTTGGGATTTTTTGACAATCTAAGGGATTTGGGGTGAATTTGGGACGATTTTTTTGGGACTTCTTTCAAAATTTGGGGTTCCCTCAATGTGTGTGAGGGGGAGATTTGGGGGAGATTCCCCAAAATTTTGGAGAATTCCTAAAATTGGAGCCTCCCATAAATATTGAGCCTCATTTTTGTTGAATTTTGGGGGTCTTTTTGTGGGATTTTCTCTTTTTTCGGAGTTTTGGGAATCGTGAGGGGGTTGGGGACAATCTCAGGGATTTCTGGGGATGTTTTGGGGGAAGTTTTGAGGATTTTTGGGGGATTTGGGGGTGTTTTAGGGGGAGTTTTGGGGATTTTTTTGGGTTGAAATGGGAATTTTTGGGGTTTAATTTATGATTTTTATAGGATTTTGTGGAAATTTGAGGAAAACTTGTGATTTTTTTAGGATTGAGAGATTTTTTTGGGAATTTTAAGGATATTTTTGGGGATTTTTAGGGAAAATTTGGGGGGATTTTTGGGGAATTTTGGAAAAGACTTCGGGGAGTTTTTGGGATTTTTTGGCAATCTCAGGGATATCTGGGTGAATTTGGGAGGATTTGGGGTCAATTTTGAGCCTCATTTTTGTGGAATTTTGGGGGTTTTTGGGAATTTTTGGGGGGGAATTTTGGGCTTTTTTGGGGAAATTTTGGGGTTTTTGGGATATTTTAGAGGAATTTTGTGGATTTTGGGGGGAAATTTTGGGGATTTTTGGTGGAACTTTTGGGGAAGTTTTGGGATTTTTGTTGGGGGAATTTTGGATTTTTTAGAGAAATTTTGTGAATTTTGGGAAGTTTTGGGGAAATTTTGGGGATTTTTTGGGGGGAATTTTGGGGGGACTTTGGGGATTTTTTTGGTGGATTCGGGGTCAATTTTGAGCCTCATTTTTGTGGAATTTTGGATTTTTTATGGCGTTTCCCCCAAACTTCGGGAGTTTTGGGTATTGTTCGACCTTGGGCACACTCTCAGGGTCATTTGGGTGAATTTTGGCTGAATTCTGTCCCTTTTTGGGCCGTTTTGGCGCAGGCCGCTCCGGCTCGGCCGGGCCAGCAGGGGGCGCTGCGCGCGGCCGTGGAGCGGCTCCGGAAGGAGGTGCGGGACCTGGGGGACGCCATTGCGGACGCACAGGAAACGGCGCGGCACCTCGGTGAGTCCGGCCGGAAACGCGGCCCCCGCACAAAGGTTCCTACCTCAAAACCTCCATTTCGGGGTCTCCCCAGCCCCAAATTTTGGGGTCCGCGCCATTTTTGGGGTCTCATGACCCCCCTAAATCCCAATTTTGGGGTCCTCACCACAAATTTGGGATTCCTGATGCTCCCAAAACCCAAAATTTGTGGTCCCTGATGAACTGAAACTCCAATTTTAGGGTCTCTGATGCACCTAAGCCCCAATTTTGGGGCTCCTCACCCTTCAAAATCCCCAAATTTTGGGTCCCTGGCCCACCCCAAACCCAAATTTGAGGTTCCCTTCCCTATCTTAGAGCCCCATGACCCCCCCACCCTCAGTTTTGGGGCCCCTTCCCAATTTTTAGGGTCCCTGACCTCCCAAGACCCCAAATTTGGGATCCTTGGCCCTCTCAATACCCTAAATTGGGGGTCCCTGACCCACTCAACCCCCAAATTTGGGGGCTTCCACCACAAATTTGGGATCCCCTGACCCCCCCAACCCCATTTTTGGGGTCACCACCCCCAAATTTTCGGGACCCTCCCCCAATTTTAGGGTCCCAGACCCCCCCAAACCCCAATTTTGGGGTCCTCCACCCCCAAATTTATGGGGTCCCTTCCCCAATTTTGGGGTCCCCTTCCCCAGTTTTGGGCTCCCAGAAGCCCCCAAATCCCAAATTTTGGGGTCCCTGACCGCCCCAAACCCCAATTTTGGGGTCCCTTCCCCAATTTTAGGGTCCCAGACCCCCGCTAAACCCCAAATTTGGGGTCTCTGAACCCCCCAAACCCCAATTTTGGGGTTCCCTTTCCCAGTATTTTGGGTCCCAGGATCCCCCTAAACCCCAAATTTGGGACCCTCACCCCAATTTCGGGGTGCCCTCCCTCAATTTAGGGGTCCCAGACCCCCCAAACCCCAAATTTGGGGGTTCTCACCCCAAACCTTTGGGGTCCCCCTTTCCCTGCCAGACGCCTCGCTGGAGGAGGCGCAGAGGCGGCGGTGGGCGGAGCTTCAGCGAGGGGCGGAGCTTCGGCTGCTGGGGGCGGAGCCGGGCCCGGCTGGGCTGCAGGACGGCCATGAGGGGGCGCTGAGGGCAACCCATAAAAGGTGAAAGGGGCGGGGCCTGAAGGGGCAGGGTGGAAGGGGCGGGGCCCTGCAGTGTTTCCTTATATGGGCAGTGGGGGAATTTGGGGGATTTTTAGATTTTTTGGTCCCTGACTGAATTTTGGGGCCTTCAGGGGATTTTGGGTGATTTTTGAGGGGATTTTGGAGGATTCTCTGGGACTTGGGAGGATTTTGAAGGGTTTTCAAGAGATTTTTTGTGTCTCTCGGGGATTGTGAGGAGATTTTGGGGCATTTTGAGGAGAATTTGGCGTCCCTGAAGCATTTTTTGAGGGTTTTGGGTTCCTGGGAGAATTTTGAGACAATTTGAAGCATTTTGAGGGGATTTTGTGTTCCTAATGGGATTTTGGGAAATTTTGAAGTGTTTTGAGGAGGTTTTGGGGTCCATAAGGGGATTTTTGAAGAATTTTCTGGTTCCTGAGGGGATTTTGGGGTCCCTGGTGGGAATTTTCAGATTTTGGAGGATTATGAGGAAATTTTGATCAGAGTTTTGGGTCTCTGAGGTGATTTTGGGGGATTGTGAGGCAATTTTTGCTTTCTGGGGGGATTTTTGAGGTTCCTGAGTGGATTTTGGGTTTTCTGAGGGGATTTTTTTGGAATTTGGGGGAGATTTTGGGGTCCCTGAGGGATTTTGGGGGGATTTGAGGGATTTTGGGGGGATTTTGTTCCTAAGGGGATCTGGGGGGATTTTGAAGAAATTTTGAGGCGTTTTGGTTGATTTTGAGGAGACTTTGGGGTTCTTGATGGGATTTTTGGAGTTCCTGAGTGGATTATGGGTAAATTTGGGGTATTTTGGGCCATTTTGAGAAGATTTTGGGTATTTTAAAAGACTTTTGGGTCCCCTCAGGCCGGGCCAATCCCGGGCGGAGCTGTCGGCCATCTTGGCCGCGGGGGCAGAGCCGGAAGTGCTGGTGAGTGGGCGGGGCCTGACATGGTGGGCGGGGCCTGGAGACCATTCAGGGACCCCAAAATCAGCCCAGGACCCCCCAAAAATCCCCAAATTCCCCCAACCCCTCCCCCTCCGCAGGTGTCAATCAAGGCCCTGTGCAAGGCCAGGGAGGCAGAGCTCCAGAGGCCGCGCCCACACAGGTAAGCCACACTCTTTCCTCCTTAACCCCTAATTAACCCCTCAATTAATCAATTAATTAATGAACCCCAGAGCTGCCAATCACCCCCGGAAGGCTCAGGAGGCTCCGGATTGGTCGGAACAGGCTGAGGTGGGCGTGGCTGGCTGGGGAAGGGGGCGTGGCTCTGCCCAGGCCACGCCCTCTGCTCTTACACGTGGCGCCCCCTACAGGCTGTACTGAGGCGCCACGGCCCAGAGGCCGTGCTTTGGGCACTGGAGGTCCTGGCCAATCAGAGCACAAGGTGGGTGGGGCCTGAAGGACTGGGTGGGGCTTAAAGGGGAGGGAGTGGCCAAAAGAATGGGAGGGGCTTAAAGGGGTGGGTGTGGCTTAAAGAGATGAGTGGGGCTTAAAGTGTGGGTGTGGCCTAAGAGGGTGGGAGGGGCTTTAATATGTGAGTGGGGCTCAAAAGGTGGGTGGGGCTTAAAAGGGTGGGTGGGGCTCAAAGGCATTAGCTGGATTTAATGGTGGGTGGGTCTTAAATGAGTGGATGGAGCTTCAGTGAGTGGGTGGGCCTTAAATATGTGGGTGGGGCTTAAATGGATGGAGTGGGCTTAAAAGGGGCGGGTGTGGCATAAGTGGGTGGAGCTTAAAGGGTGGGTGGGGCTTAAAGGGATCGGTGGGTGGGGCCAAAAGCATGGGTGGGGCTTAAATAGGTAGGTGTGGTTTAAAGGGAATAGGTGTGGCTTTAAGGAGTGGGTGAGGCTTAAAAGAATGGGTGGAGCTTAGGGTGGTGGGTGGGGCTTAAAGGAATGGGTGGGTCCTAAAGAGGTGGGTGGGGGCTTTAAAAGGTGGATGGGGCTTAAAGGGATGGGTGTGGCTTAATGAGAATAGGTGTGGCTTAACAGGGTGGGTGTGACTTAAAGATGTGGGTGGGGCTTAAAGGGATGGGTGGGTCTTAAATGGGTGGGTGGGCTTAAGGGGACAGGGTGGGGCTTAAGTGGTGGGTGGGTCTTAAAGGAATAGCCAGGGCTTAAAGGGGTGGGTGGGGCCAAAATGAGTGGGGGTGGCTTAAAGATGTGGGTGGGGCTTAAAGAGGTGGGTGGGGCCTAAAGGGATTAGGTGCATTAAATGTTGGGTTGTGCTTAAGCGGAGGGGTGTGGCTTAAATGGGTAGGTGTGGCTTAAAGGGATGGGTGGGGCATAAACATAGGTGGGTGGGGCTTACCAGGTGGGTGGAGCTTAAAGGAGTGGGCAGGGCTTAAAGGAATTGGTGGGCCTTAAATGAGTGGGTGGGGCTTAAAGGAATAGGCTGGGCTTAAATGGAGCGTGTGGGGCTGAAGAGGTGGGTGTGGCCAAACTGACTGGGTAGGGCTTAAATGGGTGGGGCTTAGAGGGGTGGGTGGGGCTTAAAGGGGTGGGTGGGGCTTAATGCAGTGGGTGGATTTTAAAGAGGGGGTGGAGCTTTAAAAGGTCGGTTAGGCTTAGTTGCATGGGTGTGGCCCAAAGATGTGGGCGGGGTTTTGAGGTGTGGGTTCGGGCTTGAAGGGATTGGGTGGGTTAAATGTTGGGTGGGGCCTAAACAGTGGGGTGTGGCTTCAATGGGTAGGTGAGGCTTAAAAGGTGGGTGGAGCTTAAAGAAAGGGGTGGGGCTTTAAGGGTGGGTGGGACTTAGAGATAGATGGGGCTTAAAGGAGTGGGTGGGGCTTCAAATAGTGGGCGAGGCTTTAAAAGGTGGGTGGGGCATAAAGGAAGGGTGGGGCATGAAAGGGGTGGGTGGAGCTTAAGGGCATGTGTAGAGCTTAAAGGTGTGGGTGGAGCTTAAGTGGGTGGGTGGGGCTTAAAGGGATTAGGGGGGCTAAATGTTGGGTGGGGATTAGAGGGGTGTGACCTAAATGGGTGGGTGGGGCTTAAAGGGTTGGGTGGGACTTTAAAGGGTGGGCAGGGCTTGATGGGTGGGTGGGGCTTAATAGGGAGGTGGGGATTAAAGGGGTGGGTTAACCTTTAGGATGGAGGTGGAGCTTAGAGGGGTGGGTGGGGCTTAAAGGGATCAGTGTGGCCTAAATGGGTGGGTGTGGCCAAAAGCAATGGGTGGGGCTTTAAGGGGTGGGTGGGGATTAATGGGGTGGGTGTGGCCAAACACATGGGTGGGGCTTAAAGGGGTGGGTGGGGATTAATGGGGTGGGTGTGGCCAAACAAATGGGTGGGGCTTACAGGAGTGGGTGTGGCCAAAAGGAATGGGTGTGGCACAAGTGGGTGGGTGGGGCTTAATGGGGTAGGAGGGAATTTTGGGGGTTTTTAGGACATTTTGGGGTCCCTGAGGGGATTTCTGGTGATGTTGGGAGCGTGGCCTCACACCTGTCAATCACAGAGATTTCCTGGTTGGCCCCACCCCCTCAGCTGAGGCCCCGCCCACCCTGAAGAGCCTCCTGCAGGTGAGGCGGGAGAGGAACGGGGTTGGGGTCAAAATTGGGGATTTTGGGGCTTCTTGGGGTCAAAATTTCAGGTTTTGGGCCTTTTTGGGGGTCATAATTTCAGATGGGCGATTTGGGGCTTTTTGGGACCACGATTTTGAATTTGAGGGATTTTGGGGGGGATTTGGGGATTTCTTGGGTCAGAAATTTGCATTTTGGGCAATTTTTTGGGGACTTGAGGGATTTTGGGAATTTTTAGGGTTGGGATTTGGGATTTTTGGGGGGATTTTGGCAATTTTGGGGTCAGGATTTGGGGTTTTGGGGTAGTTTGGGGTTTTTGGGGTGGTTTTGGGGTTTTGGGGTTTCCGAGTCCATTTTCAGGATCCCAGGGTCGTTTTTGGGGTGGACTTGGGGCTCTTGGGGGTTTCTGAGCTCATTTTCGGGTGGATTTTTGGGATTTTGGGGTCCCCAGGCCATTTTGGGGTCCCTGATGTGCTTTTGGGGTCCCCAGGAGCGCTGGGGGGCCGTGGGGGAGGTGTGGGGGGCGCTGCCCCCCCTCCTGTCCCACCTGTCCCACCTGAGGGGGCAGCTGGGGACGCACCTGGAGCAGGGGACAGGCAACAAGGAAGTCACCAGGTAACACCAAAATGTCCTGAATTATCCCTAAAATATCTTCAATTTTCCTAAAATATTCTAAATTACCCTCAAATATCCCAAACTCCCTGAAATCCGGCCCAAAATACCCCAAAAACCCCAAATGCTCCCAAAAACCCCCTGGGACACACCTGGAGCGGGGGATGGGCAACGATGGAGTCACCAGGTGAGACCGAAATCCCCTGAAATATCCCTGAAATATCCTAAAATATGCCAAATCCATCCTAAAATACTTCAAATTATCTCCAAATGTCTGAAATCCAGCCCAAAATGTACCAAAAAAATTCCCAAATCCACCCCAAACTCCCTGAAATTGGTCGTAAAATACCCAAAATTATCCCAAACTTGTCCTAATGTACCCAAAATTCCTAATTTTTATTGCCTTTCCCCCAAAATCCCCATTTTTCACCTCAAAATCTCCATTTTTCTTCTCCTGTTTCCCGAATTTTATCCTCCAAAATCCCCATTTCTATTCCCATTTTTCCCTCCAAATTCCCATTTTTATTCCCATTTTTCTACCTGTTTTCCTCCCAAAATCTCCCTTTCCCCCCCCCCATTTTTTCCCCATTTTTTCCCCATTTTCTCAATTTCCCCGTTTCTCACCCCAGATTTCCCTGCACTCCCCCCCCAAGGCTGTTCCTGCTCTGGGTGGCGCTCTCGGCCTTCTGGGGCTCCCTGGGCCCCAAAATCGCCCAAAATCACCCCAAAATTCGGCCCCAAAATCCCCAAAATTTGGCCCCAAAATCAGTCCCAAAATCGGCTCTAAAGTCCCTGAATTCAGCCCCAAAATCCCCAAGTTTGGCCCCAAATTTGACCCCAAAATTGGCTCTCAAATCCCCAAATTTGGCCCCAAAATTCGGTCCAAAATCGCCAAAATTTGGCCACAAATCCTCTGGGTTTAGCCCTAAAATCAGCCCCAAAATTTGGGTCTAAAATCCCAAAATTCAGCCCTAAAACCCCCAAATTCGACCCCAAAATCCCCACAATTCAGCCCTAAGATCAGCCCCAACATTCCCAGATTTGGTCTCAAGTTTGGCCCCAAAATTTGGCCCTAAATCCTCCAGATTTGCCCTAAAATCAGCCCCAGAATCGGTACGAAACTCCCAATATTCCACCCCAAAATCCCAAAATCCAGCCCCAAAACCAGCCCCAAAATTGGCTCTAAAATCCCCACAATCGGCCCCAAAATCCCTAAAATATGGCTCCAAATTTAGCCCCCAAATCCCCAAGTTTGGCTCCAAACCCCCAGAAAAAAACCCCAAAATTTTTGCCTGAAACCACCAAAAGTCTGCTCCAAATTCGCCCCAAAATTCCCAAATCTGGCCCCATAATTGTCCATAAAATCCTGAAAGTTTGCTCTAAAATGCCCAAACTCAGCCCCAAAATCAGCTCCAAAATCAGCTCCAAAATCCCCAAATTTGGCCTCAAAAATCCCCAACATTTGGCCCCAAACTCAGCTCTAAAATCCCAAAATTCAGCCCCAAATCAGCCCCAAAATTTCCAAAACCAGCCTCAAATTGTGTCCCAAAATCACAAAGTTCAGCCCCAAAACTCCAAAATTTGGCTCTAAATCTCCAAATTCTGCCCCAGAATTCCCAAATTCAGCCCCAAAACCTTTTCTGAAATCCCCAAAATTGGCTCCAAAATTGGCTTCAAAATCACCAAATTTGACCCCAAAGTCCCAATTTTTATTCCCATTTTCCCCCCATCTCTCCCCCTATTTTTCTCTCAAAATTCCCATTTTTCCCCCTATTTTCCCCAAAATCCCCTTTCCCCCCCCCAGTCCCCATTCCTCCCCATTTTCCCAATTTCCCCATTTCTCACCCCAATTTCCTCCCCAGGCTGTTCCTGCTCCGGGAGGGGCTCTCGGCCCACCGGGCCTCCCTGGGCCGGGCGCTGACCCGGCTGCAGCAGGAGCTCCAAAATCCCCAAAATCCACCCCAAAATCCACCCCAGGAACCCCAAAATCCGGCCCCAAAACCTCAAAATCCACCACATTCAACCGCAAAATCCCAACATTTGGACCCAAAATCCTCAGAATTGGCCTCAAAATCAGCTCCAAAATCGGCTCTAAAACCCCAAAATTTGGATCTGGCCCCAAAATCCCAAAATTTGGATCCTAAATGCCCAAATCTGGCCCCAAAATCCCCGGATTTGAGCCCAGACTCGGCCCTGGAGCAGCTCCAGCAGCAGCTGCGGAGGGGGAGGGGCCGAGTGGTGAGTGCGGCAATTTTGGGGGGAATTTTGGGTTTTTTTGGGGTGTTTATGGGGTTTTGGGGGGTAAAATGGGGAAATTTTGGGGGTTTGGGATTTGAGGTTTTTGGGGGTTTTGGGATTTTTGGGGGTTTTATGGGGTTTTTTGGGGTTTTTATGGGGTTTTGGGGGGTAAAATGGGGAAATTTTGGGGGTTTGGGATTTGAGGTTTTTGGGGCTTTTGGGATTTTTGGGGGTTTTATGGGGTTTTTTGGGGTTTTTATGGGGTTTTGGGGGGTAAAATGGGGAAATTTGGGGGGTTTGGGATTTGAGAATTTTGGGGTTTTTGGGGGTTTTTTGGGGTTTCGGATTTGGGTTTTGGGGATTTGGAGTTTTGGGGGTTTTTGGACTTTTTGGGGTTTATGGGATTTTTGGGGGTAAAATGGGGAATTTTGGAGTCTGGAATTGGAGATTTTTGGGGTGTTTTGGGGGTTTTTTTTGGCGGTTTTGGGCCTTGGAGGTTTTTTGGGAGTTGTGGGGTTTGGGGGATTTTGGGGTTTTGGGATTTGGGATTTTGAGGATTCGAGATTTTGGACATTTTGGATTCGGGATTTTGGGGGTTTTTTGGGGGCGGTTTTGGGGATTTGGGGTTTTAGGGGGATAAAATGGGAAATTTGGGGATTTTGGGGTTTGGGTTTTTTTGGGGTTATTTTGGGGTTTCAGATTTGGGGGTTTTGGGGTTTTAGAGTTTGGGGGATTTGGGATTTGGGGGAGTTTGAGGTTTTGGGGATTTAGGATTTGGGGTTTGGGGATTTTGGGGGTTGTTATTTTGGGGGGTTTTTTGGGGATTTTGGGATTGGAGATTTTGGGATGTTTGGGATTTGGGGTTTTTGGGGCATAAAATGGGGAATTTGGGGGTTTTGGGGAAGTATTTGAGGGGATTTTGGGATCTGGGGGTTCGGGATTTTGGGGATTTGGGTTTCGGGATTTTGGGGGGATTTGGGACATTTTGCGGTTTTGGGGGTTTTTGGGGAGTTTTGGCGGTTTTGGGCATTTTGGGGTTTTTGGGATTTATTTTTTGGCGTTTTTAGAGGTTTAAGATTTGGGGGAATTTTGGGGGTTTGGAGGGTTTTGGGGGATTTTGGGGTTTTTGGGATTTGGGGTTTTTGGGATTTTTAGGGATTTAAGATTTGGGGGTTTTGGGGATTTTGGGGTTTGTGATTTTGGGAGGGATCTGGGAGAATTTTGGGGATTTTGGGGGATTTGGGGTTTTGGGGTTTTGGAGGTTTGGGGTTTTTGGGAGATTTGGGGGGAGAATTTTGGGGGATTTGGAGGTTTTTGGGGGGATTTGGGGTTTGGGGATTTTGGGGGATTTGGGGACATTTTGGGGTTTTGGGGACCTTGGGATGTGTGGGGGGTAAAATGGGGAATTTTGGGCTGAAATTGGGGGATTTGGGATTTGGGGTTTTTTTGGGATTGGGGATTTGGGAGTTGGGGCACTTTGGGGGATTTGGGGAATTTTGAGGTTTTTGAAGTTTTTTGGGGTTTTGGGATTTGGGGTTTTTGAGGGGGTCAAATGGGAAATTTTGGAGATTTTGGGGGGTTTTGAGAGATTTTGGGGTTTGGGAGTTTTTGGAATGTTTGGGGTTTGGGCATTTTGGGGGGTTTGGTGGATTTGGGGGATTTTGGGGCTTTGGGAATTGGAGGAAATTTGGGGATTTTGGGGGGATTTGGGATTTTGGGAATTCGGGTTTGGGATTGGGGATTTGGGGGTGATTTGGGGTTTTGGGCTTTTTTTTTTGTAATTTAGGGGGAGAAGGGGAATTTTGGGGGAAATGGGGAACTTTGGGTAATTTTGGTGATTTTGGGGTATTTTGGGTGATTTGGGAGAGATTTTTAGGATATTTTGGTTGACTGCTGGTTTTTGGGTTAATTTGGGTGATTTTGGGTTAATTTTGGGTTAATTTGGGGGATTTTTAGGTAAATTTTGGTGATTTGAAGTTAATTTGCGTGAGTGTGGGGGGATTTGGGGGGATTTTGGGGTGAACTTTGGTGTATTTGGGGTTAATTTTGGTGCTTTTTGGTTTAACTTTGGGCTAATTGGGTGGGATTTCAGGGTTAATTTTGGTGTATTTTGGGTGCATTTTGGTGATTTTTGGGTGAATTTGGGAGGATTTCAGGGTTAATTTTGGGTGATTTGGGGTCAATTTGGGTGATTTCAGGGAGATTTTTGGGTTAATTTTCGTGATTTGGGGTAAATTGTGAGCTAATTGGGGGTTAATTTGGGGTATTTTTAGGTAAATTTTGGTGATTTGGGGTTAATTTGGGTGATTGTGGGGTGAATTGTGGGATTTTTGGGTTAATTTTAGTGTATTTTGGGTTAATTTTGGGTTAATTTGGGTGATCTCAGGGGGGTTTTGAGTTAATTTTGGTTATTCTGGGGTTAATTTGGGTGGTCTGGGGAGATTTTTGGGTTAATTTTGTTGATTTTAGGTTAATTTGGGTGGTTTGGGGGGGATTTTTGGGTGAATTGTGGTGATTTTGAGGTAAATTTAGGTGATTTCAGGGGGATATTTGGGTGATTCTGGGTTAATTTCTGTGATTTTGTGGAATTTTTGGGTTAATCTCGGTGATTTTTTGGGTTAATTTCAGTAATTTTGGGTGGATTTTGGGGTTAATTTAGCTGATTTTGGGGTTAATTTGGCTGATTTTGGGGTGATGTTTGGTGATTTTTTGTGTTACTCTGGATGATTTCGGGGGTATTTTTGGGTAAATTTTGGTGATTTTTGGGTTAATTTGGGGGGATTTCAGGGTTAATTTGGGTGAATTTGGGGTGAATTTTGGTGATTTTTGGGTTAATTTGGGTGATTTCATGGAGATTTTTTTGTTAATTTGGGTGATTTCGAGGGGATTTTGGGGTGAATTTTTGTGCATTTTCTGTTCATTTTGGGTGAAATTTGTTGGTTTTTGTGTTAATTTAGATGGTTTCGGGGGATTTTGGATGAATTTTGGGTGAATTCTGATGATTTTTGGGTAATTTAGGTGATTTTGGATTCATTTTGGGTTAATTTTGGTTTCATTTTGGTGTATTTTAGGTTCATTTTGGGTGAATTTTGGGTTTGTTTTTGGGTGAATTCTGTTGATTTTCGGGTACATTTGGATGGTTTCGGGGGAATTTTGGGTTCATTTGGTTGATTTTTGGGTTATTTTGGGTGAATTTGGGGTGAATTCTGTTGATTTTTGCCGTTTCCCTCCCCAGCTCCATTTGCAGCAGCGCCTGCGGTTCCTGAGCGCCGCCACCAGGGGGCGCCGAGCGGTGCTGAAACCGCTGCAGGAGCAGGTGGGGAGCGAACCAGTACGGACCAGTATGGACCAGTATAGACCACTAAGCCCCCCAGTCCCCTCCCAGTATATCCCAGTATCCTCCAGTCCATCCCAGTTTATCCCAGTTCCTTCCCTGTCCCTCCCAGTTCATCCCAGTTTGACACTAGCTGTGATCTCAATGCTCCCAGTCCCCTTCCAGTCTGTCCCAGTTCATCCCAGTTTGACTCCAGCTCTGATCCCAGTGCTCCCAGTAACTCCCAGTACGATCCCAGTTCCCTCCCAGTATATCCCAGTATCCCTCATTTCCCTCCCAGTCCCTCCCAGTGCTCTCAGTAACTCCCAGTTCCTTCCCAGTCCATCCCAGTTCAATCCCAGTTCATCTCAACGCTCCCAGTTTGAATCCAGTTGAGATCCCAGTATACCCAGTTCCCTCCCAGTCTGTCCCAGTATCCCCCAGTTCCTCCCAGTGCTCCCAGTTTGACTCCAGCTGTGCTCCCAGTAACTCCCAGTTTGATCCCAGTCCCTCCCAGCACCCTCCCAGTTCCATCCCAGTATATCCCAGTATAACCCAGTCCATCCCAGTATCCTGCACTTCCCTCCCAGTTCCCTCCCAGTCCTTCCCAGTTCCCCCCAGTTCCATCCCAGTCCCCTCCCAGCATAACCCAGTATCCCCCAGTCCCTCCCAGTACAACCCAGTCCCCTCCCAGTCGCTCCCAGTTCATCCCAGTTTGACTCCAGCTCTGATCCCAGTGCTCCCAGTAACTCCCAGTTCCTCCCGGTGCTCCCAGTTTGACTCCAGCTGAGATCCCAGTAACTCCCAGTTTGATCCCAGTTCCCTCCCAGTCCCTCCCAGTATAAACCAGTATCTCCCAATTCCCTCCAGTGCCCTCCCAGTATAACCCAGTTCCCCCCAGTCCCTCCCAGCCCCTCCCAGTTTGATCCCAGTTCCCGACGTCTCTGATTGGCCTCAGGTTGTGGGCGTGGCGCGGGCGGGGCCGGGCTCGGCCCTTATCCCTCTGGAGGGGGCGTGGCTGCGGCGCCGGCAGCTGACACTGGGAGCACTGGGAGCACTGGGAGAGGAGCCCCGCCCCCCGGCACAGGCCACGCCCCCTCTGCAGGGGCTGGCACGGGAGATGGGCGTGGCACAGGTGGGGGAGGGGCTAAGGGGGTGGGGCAGGGCTTAAAGAGGAATGGGAGGGGCTTAAATGAGAGAGAGGCCTATACCAGGAGGAGGGGCCTAACCCAGAGGGCTTAAATGGGGGAGGGGCTTAAACCAGGGGATTGGATAAAGTGGGGGAGGGGCTTAAAGTGGGAGAGGCCTAAAGGGTGGGGCAAAGGCTTGAGGGGTGGGACTTAAAGAGGGGGAGGGGCTTGAGGGGGAGGGAGGAGATTTAGGAGTGGGGAGGGGCTCAAAGGGGGGGGGCCTAAAACAGATGGCATCTAAAGAGAGGGAGGGGCTTAAAGATGGGGAGGGGAGGGGCTAAAAGGGTGGGGGAGGGGCTTGAGTGGGGGAGGGGCCTCGAGGAGGGAGGGGTTTAGAGAGCTAAGGGATGGGGGAGGGGAATGGGGGAGGAGCCAAAAGATGGGGGAGGGACTTAAATTTAGGGGGAGGGGCTTCAAATGTGGGGGAGGGGCTGGAGGGAAAGGGGAGGAGCTTAAAGAGTGGGGGAGGGGCTTGGAGGGAGTGGGAGGGGTTTGGGGTGAGGCTTAAATGGGGCTGTAAAGGTGGGGGAGGGTGCCGCCAATTGGGGGCGTGGCCAAGCCCGCCCCCACCCCCTTATGTCCGTCAGGGCTCGCTGCTGTCCCAGGCGGCCATCTTGCGTCAGCAGCTCCGCCAGGGGGTGCTGCGCCTGCGCCGGGGGGCGGGGCCTGCCCTGGGGGCGGAGCAAGAGCCGCTGGCCCCGCCCCCCCTCACCGTGGACGTGGCCGAGCTGCTGCCCCGGCTGCGATTGGTCAGAGAAGGCTGCGAGCAGCGAATCAGGGACTGGCCCCGCCTCCAGGAGCTCGTCAGCCAATGGTGAGGAAGGGGGCAGGGCCTAGAGGGGGAGAGGCCTGGAATGGGGGCGTGGCTCCTCCCACCCCAAGCCCCGCCCCCTTTTCCTAACCCCGCCCCTCTCCCCAGGTGGGCCCAGCCGGCTCAGTGGGTCCTGGCCACGCCCCCTGGCTGCGCCCCCTTCTCCCATTGGCTGCAGCGCTGGCAAGCCGCCGCCCACGCCCTGCAGGCCCCGCCCACCCCCGAGGAGGCCCCACCCACCCCTGAGGAGGCCCCACCCACCGTTGGGAAGGGGGAGGAGTGAGCAGAGGAGGCTCCGCCCATTTGAAGCACTCTGGAGGTTCTGATTGGTTGGGAATCAAATGGTGTGGGGAAAGGGGCGTGGCCTGAGTCTGTGCTCATTGGGGGGGACCCAAAATGGCCCCAAATGGCCCCAGAATGTCCCAAATGGCCCTAAAACTGCCCCAAAATGGCCCCAAATGTCCCCAAAGTGTCCCCAAATGGCCCCAAAATGTCCCCAAATGGCCACAAAGGGTCCCCGGGAGGGTCCCGAGGTATCCCCAAGGTGTCTCCATGATGCTCCATTGAGGTCCCCAAAATGTCCCCAAGATGTCCCCAAAGTGCTCTCAGGGTGTCCCCACAGTGTCCTTCAGGTGTCCCTGCGGTGGCCACTGAGATGTCCCCAAATTGTCCCCAAGAGTTCTTCAGGTGTCCCCAAAGTGTCCCTGAAGTGACCCTGAGATGTCCCCAAGGTGTCCCCGGGGTGGCTTCGAGATGTCCCCCCAAAGTGTCCTCAAGGTGTCCCTAAGATGTCCCCCTAAACTGTCCCCAAGGTGTCCCTTAGGTGTCCCAAAGTGTTCCCAAAGTGTCCCCAAGGTGTTCCCTGGGGGTCCTAAAGTGCCCCTGTGATGGCCCCTGAGATGTCCCCAAAGTGTCCCCAGCGTCACTCCCATATCTCCCTCAAATGTCCCCAAGGTGTCCCCAGGGTGTTCCCAAAGTGCTCTCAGGGTGTCCCCATGATGGTGACCCTGAAGTGTCCCCAAGGTGTCCCCCAGGGGTCCCCACAGGGCATCCTGAGGTGTCCCCAAAGTGTCCCCAGGGGGGTTCTGACAGTGTCCCCCTGGGGTTCTCAGAACGTCCCCAAGGTCTCCTCAAGGTGTCCCCAAAGTGTCCCCAGAGTGGTGGCTCTGAAGTGTCCCCAAAAGTGACCCCAAGGTGGCCTCAGGGTGTCCCCAAAGTGTCCCCAGGGGCCTCCTGAAGTGTCCCCTTGGTGTCCCCACAACAGCTCCCAAAGTGACCCCAGGGTCTGGGGTTCCCAGAATGTCCCCAGGATGTCCCCAAAGTGTCCCTGAAATGACCCCAGGGAGTTCCTGAGGTGTCCCCAAGGTGTCTCAGGGATGTCCCCAGGGTCACCCCAAAGTGTCCCTGAAGCGGCTCCAAAGTGTCCCCAAAGTGCTCTCTGGGTGTCCCCAGGATGTCCCTAAAGTGTCCCTGAAATGACCCCAGGGTGTCCCCAAAGTGTCCCCAAGGTGTTCCTGACCTGGGGGTTCCTAAAATGTCCCCAGAGTGCTCTCAGGGTGTCCTCAAAATGTCCCCAAGGTGTCCCTCAAGTCTCCCCAAAGTGACCCCACAATGTCCCCAAAGTGTCCCCGAGGTGTCTCAGGGATGTCCCCAGGGTCACCCCAAGGTGTCCCCAAGGTGTCCCCAAAGTGTCCCCAAGATGTCCCCAAGGTGTCCCAAAAGTGTCCCCAGGATGTCCCCAAGGTGTCCCCAGGATGTCCCCAAGGTGTCCCCAAGGTGTCCCCAAGGTATCCCCAAGCTGCTCTCAGGGTGTCCCCAGGATGTCCCCAAAGTGTTCCCGGGTGGTACCAAAGTGACCCCACGATGGCCGCCATGATGTCCCCAAGGTGTCCCCAGGGTCACTCCCGGATGTCCCCAGGGTGCTCTCAGGGTGTCCCCGAGGTGTCCCTGAAATGACCCCAGGAGTTCCTCAGGTGTCCCCAGGGTGGCCCCAGGGTCACCCCAAAGTGTCCCCAAGTGTCCCCAAAGTGCCCCAAGGTGTCCCTGAGGTGTCCCCAGGGTGGCCCCGCCCCATCCACGTCAGGGGACACCAGCAGGGGGCGCCCCGGTGCTCCCAGTGCATCCCAGTTCAATCCCAGTCCATCCCAGTGCATCCCAGTGCTCCCAGTCCATCCCAGTGCTCCCAGTTAAATGGATGGAGTGGGCTTAAAAGGGGCGGGTGTGGCATAAGTGGGTGGAGCTTAAAGGGTGGGTGGGGCTTAAAGGGATCGGTGGGTGGGGCCAAAAGCATGGGTGGGGCTTAAATAGGTAGGTGTGGTTTAAAGGGAATAGGTGTGGCTTTAAGGAGTGGGTGAGGCTTAAAAGAATGGGTGGAGCTTAGGGTGGTGGGTGGGGCTTAAAGGAATGGGTGGGTCCTAAAGAGGTGGGTGGGGGCTTTAAAAGGTGGATGGGGCTTAAAGGGATGGGTGTGGCTTAATGAGAATAGGTGTGGCTTAACAGGGTGGGTGTGGCTTAAAGATGTGGGTGGGGCCAAAAGGGATGGGTGGGTCTTAAATGGGTGGGTGGGCTTAAGGGGACAGGGTGGGGCTTAAGTGGTGGGTGGGTCTTAAAGGAATAGCCAGGGCTTAAAGTGGTGGGTGGGGCCAAAATGAGTGGGGGTGGCTTAAAGATGTGGGTGGGGCTTAAAGAGGTGGGTGGGGCCTAAAGGGATTAGGTGCATTAAATGTTGGGTTGTGCTTAAGCGGAGGGGTGTGGCTTAAATGGGTAGGTGTGGCTTAAAGGGATGGGTGGGGCATAAACATAGGTGGGTGGGGCTTACCAGGTGGGGGGAGCTTAAAGGAGTGGGCAGGGCTTAAAGGAATTGGTGGGGCTTAAATGAGTGGGTGGGGCTTAAAGGAATAGGCTGGGCTTAAATGGAGCGTGTGGGGCTGAAGAGGTGGGTGTGGCCAAACTGACTGGGTAGGGCTTAAATGGGTGGGGCTTAGAGGGGTGGGTGGGGCTTAAAGGGGTGGGTGGGGCTTAATGCAGTGGGTGGATTTTAAAGAGGGGGTGGAGCTTTAAAAGGTCGGTTAGGCTTAGTTGCATGGGTGTGGCCCAAAGATGTGGGCGGGGTTTTAAGGTGTGGGTTCGGGCTTGAAGGGATTGGGTGGGTTAAATGTTGGGTGGGGCCTAAACAGTGGGGTGTGGCTTCAATGGGTAGGTGAGGCTTAAAAGGTGGGTGGAGCTTAAAGAAAGGGGTGGGGCTTTAAGGGTGGGTGGGACTTAGAGATAGATGGGGCTTAAAGGAGTGGGTGGGGCTTCAAATAGTGGGCGAGGCTTTAAAAGGTGGGTGGGGCATAAAGGAAGGGTGGGGCATGAAAGGGGTGGGTGGAGCTTAAGGGCATGTGTAGAGCTTAAAGGTGTGGGTGGAGCTTAAGTGGGTGGGTGGGGTTTGGGTCAATCCCATTGGGTTTTATAAATTTGGGTCAATCCCGTTGGGTTTGGGTCAATCCCGTTGGTTTTGGGTCAATCCCGTTGGGTTTGGGTGGATTTGGGTCAATCCCGTTGGGTTTGGGTCAATCCTGTTGGGTTTGGGATGCATTTGGGTCAATCCCGTTGGGTTTTTGGGTGGGTTTGGGTCAATCCCATTGGGTTTTATGAATTTGGGTATATCCCGTTGGGTTTGGGTCAATCCTGTTGGGTTTTTGGGTGGGTTTGGATCAATCCCGTTGGGTTTGGGTCAATCCTGTTGGGTTTTTGGGTGGATTTGGGTCAATCCCGTTGGTTTTGGGTCAATCCCGTTGGGTTTGGGTGGGTTTGGGTCAATCCCGTTGGTTTTGGGTCAATCCCGTTGGGTTTGGGTGGATTTGGGTCAATCCCGTTGGGTTTGGGTCAATCCCGTTGGATTTGGGTCAATCCTGTTGGGTTTGGGAGGGTTTGGGTCAATCCCGTTGAGTTTGGGTGGGTTTGGGTCAATCCCGTTGGGTTTGGGATGCATTTGGGTCAATCCCGTTGGGTTTGGGAGTGTTTCGGTCAATCCCGTTGGATTTGGGTCAATCCCGGTGGGTTTGAGTGGGTTTGGGTCAATCCCGTTGGGTTTGGGTCAATCCCGTTGGGTTTGGGAGGGTTTCGGTCAATCCTGTTGGGTTTGGGTCAATCCCGTTGGGTTTGGGTCAATCCGGTTGGATTTGGGTCAATCCTGTTGGGGTTTAGGGTGGGTTTGGGTCAATCCCGTTGGGTTTGGGTCAATCCCGTTGGGTTTGGGAGGGTTTCGGTCAATCCCGTTGGGTTTGGGTCAATCCCGTTGGGTTTGGGTGGGTTTGGGTCAATTCCGTTGGGTTTGGGTCAATCCCGTTGGGTTTGGGAGGGTTTCGGTCAATCCCGTTGGGTTTGGGTCAATCCCGTTGGGTTTGGGAGGGTTTCAGTCAATCCTGTTGGGTTTGGGTCAATCCCGTTGGGTTTGGGTCAATCCTGTTGGGTTTTTGGGTGGGTTTGGGTCAATCCCGGTGGGTTTGGGTCAATCCTGTTGGGTTTTTGGGTGGATTTGGGTCAATCCCGTTGGGTTTGGGTCAATCCCGTTGGGTTTGGGTGGGTTTGGGTCAATTCCGTTGGGTTTGGGAGGGTTTCGGTCAATCCCGTTGGGTTTGGGTCAATCCCGTTGGGTTTGGGATGCATTTGGGTCAATCCTGTTGGGTTTTTGGGTGGGTTTGGGTCAATCCTGTTGGGTTTTTGGGTGGATTTGGGTCAATCCTGTTGGGTTTGGGTCAATCCCGTTGGGTTTGGGTGGATTTGGGTCAATCCCGTTGGGTATGGGTCAATCCTGTTGGGTTTGGGAGGGTTTCGGTCAATCCCGTTGAGTTTGGGTGGGTTTGGGTCAATCCTGTTGGGTTTGGGAGGGTTTCGGTCAATCCCGTTGGGTTTGGGTCAATCGCGTTTGGTTTGGGTCAATCCCGTTGGGTTTGGGTCAATCCTGTTGGGTTTGGGTCAATCCTGTTGGGTTTTTGGGTGGGTTTGGGTCAATCCCGTTGGGTTTGGGTCAATCCCGTTGGTTTTGGGTCAATCCCGTTGGGTTTGGGTGGATTTGGGTCAATCCCGTTGGGTTTGGGTCAATCCCGTTGGGTTTGGGTGGATTTGGGTCAATCCCGTTGGGTTTGGGTCAATCCTGTTGGGTTTTTGGGTGGGTTTGGGTCAATCCCGTTGGATTTGGGAGGGTTTGGGTCAATCCCGTTGGATTTGGGAGGGTTTGGGTCAATCCCGTTGGGTTTGGGTGGATTTGGGTCAATCCCGTTGGGTTTGGGTCAATCC